ATCTTGTAGATTTCCTTTAATGGCACAGGACAATCACAGGGGCTTATTATGAAGGATTTTTTTTTTCGTTTGAAAACTGCATTGGTTGTAAAAAGACCAGGAATGTTGAACCAGGGATTTTTTTCCATCATGACAATGCACCTACTCATTCTTAAAGGGTACCAAGGACTGTCCTTTAAGAATTTGGTTGCCAAACCTTACCCTGTCTACAGTACAGCCCTTATATTGCCCTTTCAGACTTCTTTTTGTTTCCAAACAAACAAAAAGCAAAGCAGAAACTCACTGCCAGGAAGTCAATTCTGTGTTAGTCTGGGTAGATTAGAGAAACAAATTCATAGACACTCACATGTGTATAAGAAACAGCTTTATATACAAAAGCAATTGAATATTGAGAAAACGTTCCACCCCAGTCCAGATCAAGTCTGTAAACCTGATATTAGCCCATATGTCCGATACAAATTTATAAAGCCTTCTTCAGACTCACGAAACACATGCAAATGATGCCGAATGCAGGAAGATCACAGGCCAGTGGGTAGGAAGTCTTGTGGATCCAGTGGCGTTGTAAGCATCTCAGCACTGGCAGGGGTCTCCATGTGGCTTCTCTGGCTCCAGAGGTCTGGCTCCATCAGCCTCTCTCCATGTGGTCTTCTCCACAGGGATGTCTCACAGGGACATCCTGAGACAGTGTGTGTCTCCTGCCTCCAAGGAGGAAATACAGGAATTTACAGAATCCTCAGGAGAAGGCCATGCCCACACAGAGGCCTCATTGGCTATATCCTGATTGACAGGCTAGACTCCACTCTTAATCCTCAAATTGACACTAGATTATGTAACTACCACAGTTTCCAACACTGTAAATCTTTAGAGAAGCAAATTGCCTCATCTTTGTCTCATGGAGTGAATAGTGGTTTTGAATCACCAACTTTGCTGTTAATAGTCCCGTGCTTACTCCACAGAGACACCAGACCTCCTTCCCCGAACTCAAAGAACATTTAAAAGGAGTATGATCAGAGAGTCCCCTGACTATGCCAAAAAGAGCACAGGATTCTTTGGGGAAGGATTAGAGAGATGGAAATACCACCTTCAGAACTATGTAGGCCTACATGGAGAATGTGTCGTGAAACAATAGCTTCACATTTTGATAATTTTGTTTAATAAATGCTTATTTCACTTTTTTATTTACCCTACTATGATCTCAAAATCTCACAAGAGACTCCTGGAATCCAATTCCCCTTAGTTATTAATAACATTATTTTGTATAGGGATACCTGGGATGAAGGGTATTAGTTACTGATGCTTTCCCCCTCTCTGGATATTCCAATTCCCTTATAGCTTTTCAGGAAGCTTTGAGTTGCTCTTGCATAGTTCCATCCTTGTTTACTTTTAAGATACCCATCTCTCCTCTTTCTTTGTTTACCCTCTTCGCCAGATGATTATTTTCTGCACGGTATAGGAGCATTTCTGTGTCAGCTCACTCTACTTCTCCAGTGCCACATTATTAAAGCAGTACATTTGCTGATCAGAAGTACTAAGATTTATAAGCCTTAATGTTATTATTCTAATTAATGTCAACCTTTCAAATAGGATTGTACGTGTGCACATTAATAAAATACGTTATTTCCCCTGAAAATCTGACTTGAAACAAATGTTTTATGTAATATAGAATCAGTGATGTTCTTGGAATTTGTAATAAAATAGATTCCCTATTAGTAACCTTAACTCTGGCCTTTTGGAAAGAGTCATCTGCTTTTTGCCCTGTCACATAAATGTAATTGTAAAGTTCTTTATGAATACTTACTAAACCATGTTAGATTCTCAACTTTCTGTTGTTATTCCTAGACCCTAAAACCCTAGAGTATTATTTAAATTGTGAAAGAGAAGATTAAGGATTTGAAAAAAATCTCAGCCTGAGACCATTCTACAGCAAAAGACTATTTGTGGTAGAGTGTACACAGGAAGTTTCTTTTCATTCACAACACAAGCAACTAAAGAACTTAGTGACCAAATAATTCAATGGGAAAGAACTGAAGGGGAGTAGCCAAAGAAAATTAACTGAGTTTTATTTTCAGAGGTCAAGCTACGAAGCAAAGTGATGAAAGTAAACACTCCTTCTTCAAATGAGTGGCTGCTATTAGTCGATAAAAATAAGATTTTCCAACAGGATATCTAAAGCCAATCATTGCAGTCGGCAGTGAGAATACAGTATCTCTCAGATGCAATACCACTATGAAACCTGGAAACAGTATGATTCAGATATAATTTTCATATGTAGTTTTTGAATATGACAGATAATTAAATATAAAGGAATTCAGTATCTGAGATCTTTATTAAAAATTATGTTCAAACATAATTCAGTAGAGTGGTTTGTGAAATGTGTATAACATTTGGAGGCATATTTTAACTTTATTTTCAAGGAATAAAGCAAAGAAATATGTGCATTTCCTCTTATACTTTAATATCTTTATCACCATTGTACATACTAATTTTATAAAGGTCTGGTTTATTCATTTTTAAAGAAAATTCAAACAGCACTGTCTAAACTAAAGTACCTAAAAACAATTTGATGTCTATATTGCAGAATAATTAAATAAACCATGTGGGAAACATGATATGTTTAGTTTGCTTTTTTAAATGATGAAAAAAACTTAATTCCACTAGTATTAAGTTAGCTATTTTAAGCTTAGTGTTAGTGTGCTGTATTCTTTTGAGGGAAGTTGAAATTTAATACCCATTCAGAACTTTCTAGTTCTGAAAATTATAAGCTGTCTCAAATTTTAAAGCCTAGGTCCCAAACTTACTTGGTCTACCACTCCCTTTCCAGAAAACAAGCTACTCAGTGCCCCACTGACAGGTGAAACCTTTTGTACTACAGTACAGTAGAGGATCCCATAATATAGGCTAAAGTACATGTACATACTCTGGCAGCCCTCCTACATTGTTATACCCCCCCACCCCCCGTGGGTGGTATCACTCACTTTAGGAAACACTATTTTAAAGTCTTCCTCTTAGTGACTTTGTTTCGTAACCTCTCTTAATGCATTGTTTCAAAATTAGTTAAAAAGAAAATGTAGTCTTAAAAAAAAAATCTACTCCATGATGCTTTTGCCTTTGAATTTGAGGCAGAAAACCTTTTATTTGTTTGGCAAATAAACCAACTCTAACAAAAATATGCTATTTTATATTTCAGGACAAAGTTGTTGCTGTTCAATTCTGTAACAATGGAGACAGGTAATCATATAGTACATATCTTTGCAAATAGATTGTTTTACCATTCCCTTAACAGCTGCTCCCTTTACTACAGATAGCTTCTTTCCATCCGTTCACACTTAGGTCACATATACCCCTTGTCTATCTCTTCCCCCAAACTCCAGTTTTGAGGTTTACATTTAAGACAGATAACCACTTCTCCCCTGAGAGAAGGTTTTCCATAGGAGTTTAAGCTTTTTTTCTTCATATGAACAGTGACATTTTTCTAGAGTTATATGGCCCAAACCTAAAAAAGATATTACAGAATTAAATTATCTTGTAGCATGTGTCAGTACTTCCTCCCTTTGTATTGCTGAATTTTGTATTCTATTGTTTATACTACTTTTGATTATTATTTTAGCAATTGATTGATAGATTCTTTCCACATTTAGACTACTATATAAAGTGCTGTGAATGCACACTTTTATGTGAATTTTTTTTAAATTTCTCTCAAGTATAAACCTAGGAATGGAATTGCTGAGTCTGATAGTAACTCTATGTTTCACTTTTGAGCAACTACCAACCTGTTTTACAAAATGGCTACAATATTTTATATTTCCACCAGCAATGTATAGGGTGAATATTGCTTTTATGATAATAACAATAATAAATGGACAAAAGTAGCAAAGCTATTTATGCTTTTTCTCTTCAGTTTAAGATTTGTTAGCGGAAGTAGAGATGGAACAGCAAGAATTTGGCAGTATCAGCAACAAGAGTGGAAGAGTATAGTACTAGACATGACGACTAAAATGACTGGGTAAGATCGGGTGTGGCAGTGATTCTCATCTGGTATATCACTGAAATCATTGATAACTAATAATTAAGTGACAGATAGTAAACATGTAGTAGTATCTTTTTCCAATTAGTAAATAGTTTTAAGTTAACTGGCAGAAGTGAAGTTTGCATCTATGATATGTCTCTTACATAAATCATCTTTTAATTGTTGCTTAATAGACAAAATAATAGGAACAATGCTGAGTCATTTAAAAAGCAACTCTATTGTGACTCAAATATCTCTTTTTGTGCTGATGTTCATATAATCATTCTCTACCTTAGTCTGTGTGGATAATTTAAATATATATGTTTGTTCTACCTTGAGGATTGTACCAGTTGAATGTCATCATATATTTTACTATCTCTTTAATTTATTGAAGATATACTTATAATATTTCACAGTGTTAGCATTCCTTCTCAACATTGTCAATATACTTAATCAGCATTCTATTTCATCATCTTCACTGTCACTGGAAGTTATAAATTTTCTCATTAGGATACTACAGTTTCTTTAAAATATGACTCTGAAATTATTTTCCCATTAATAAAACTATGGAACTGACTGTTGTCATTGCTATCAATAAAACCATATTATATTAAATTTGAAAATTACTGTTTCTCACAACTTTTAATAAGACACACCAGTGCAAAAAACTTATGTGAACAAAATGGCTATTATAGTTTTCTTTGTATTTTTGGGCATGTAACATAATCTTGTGCTTTGCTTTCTAAAACTTTTATATGTTTCTTTCTAGTATACCTTTTGTGCTGTTTTCCTGTTAACTAAGTCCAGCTAAATATCTGGGTTAGTCCAGGTAGACTAGAGAAACAACTCCTGGGAGACTCATATAGGTATAAGAAAGAACTTTATATAAAGAGAAATTGTACATTAAATAAATATCCCAGCCCAGTCCAGATCAAGTCCATAAGCCTGATATTAGCCCATATGTCTAATACCATGAAACACATGCAATGATACCAAATGCAGGAAGATCACAGGCCAGTGGGTTGGAAGTCTTGTGGATCCAGTGGCATTGTAAGCATCTCAGAGCTGGCAGGGGTCACCATGTGGCTTCTCCAGCTCAGGGTACTAGCGTAGCTCCATGTATCTTGTTAGCTGCAATGTCTCCCAGGGAGTGAGTTTGTGTCCTCTATCCAGGGAGCTATTTTTCTCCTTAGCGCCTCTAAATGAGGTCATCAAGCTGCAACCTGATTGACAGACTGAACTCCACCCCTTCACTTTTAAGCCTCTCAAATATAACTACCACACTATCTATGTCAGTGGTTCTCAACCAGTGGGTCGCGACCCTTTAGGGTTCGAAGGACTCTTTCACAGGGGTCACCCGATTCATAGCAGTAGCAGAATTACATTTATGAAGTAGCAGCAAAAATAATTTTATGGTTGGGGGTCACCACAACATAAGGAACTGTATGAAAGGGTCGTGGCATTAGGAAGGTTGAGAACCACTGATCTAAGTAGTACATGTTCATTATTTTGGATATTTCACTTTTTTTTCTCAGTAATAAGCTTCTGAGTATTGCTCTATGTGGGAACATTTATTTATTTATTTTCTTTCATGGGTACTTAAAAATACAATTTATGATTTTTTTCCATCTAAACAGTTATATGATCTTAGAGAAATTTGTTTTAATTTGTTATTTTAGGTGCACCTTTGATAAAAATTGAGTTATAATCTTGGAAACTCACAGGGGCAGTTCTACTCTATCCCTTAGGATTGCTATAAATTGGAATTAACTCTCAATAGTAGTGAGTTTGCGGTTGTTGGTTTTGTTTTGATTTTTTTGGTAGGTGAAATTGTGTAAGTTTTGAATATTTTAAATTTTTTTGTTTAGGATTAATTTGCCATCTGGAGAAGACAAAGTCACTAAACTTAAGGTGACTATGGTGGCCTGGGATCGCTATGACACCACAGTTATTACTGCAGTGAATAATTTCCTTTTGAAAGTATGGAATTCTATCACAGGACAGCTTCTACATACTTTATCTGTAAGTTTTCTATTTTGGGGGAGCCAGGGTTGCACTATGTGTTAATTGATGGGCTACTAACTGTAAGATTGGCAGTTCAAACCCACTAGCCACTCCTCTGAGAAAGATGAGGCTGTCAGGGTTACAGTCTCTGAAGCTCCATATAGGGTTGTTCTGAGTTGAATTCAACTCAATGGCAATGGGTATTCTATTTTTAGATGAATTAAAATGCTGAAGGGAATTATTCTGAGAGACAGAAAATTTAAGTTCTTTCTATGACTTAGTAGTCTGTTGGGAAGGTATTGAACTTTGTAGGGCCTCTGTTGACATATCTGTTCAATGAGGATAATATGTGGTATGTACTTGTATTAAGAAAATTTTCTGAGCCATTTTGAAATCTAAAATTTTTTTTATCTTTTATTGCTTCAATCATAACAATAGTAAGGTTGATGAAGGACCTGGCCATGTTTTCTTCTATTGTGTATAGGGTCATTATGAACCAGAACAAAACTGAGTTAACAACAGCAGTACTACATTATATTTACTCAAGAGTATATGGGTTATTTTGTTTATAGCAAGAGTTGCAAATTTTTGTTTTGTTTTTTTGTTTGTTTTTGGCAATTTTTTGTTTTGAGGGTGAGAAGAACTATATTTTTACATAGGTGCTCTGTATTTTCAGGGATTAGTATATACAATAAGTAGTGATGACGCAAAGAAACAAACTCAGACTCACTGTCATTGAGTTGATTCCAACTCATAGTGACTCTACAAGGACAGGGTTGAACTGTCCCTGTGGGTTTTTGAGACTGGTGGTATGAAGTGTCTTTTCTTCGTTCTTCTTAAACTGTATTTGCCATAGTAAAAGACTGAAATATTTGTTGTATGAGAAGTTAAAAGGATTAGTAACATAAATTACATGGGTGAGGTTGATAATTAGTAATTTATCTTGATACTATTTGACTACAGGTTAAATTTCATTCGAAAGCTTTACTCTTCAGTTATCAGTTTGTAAACACTTTAACAAGAGGAGAAAATGATTGCCATATGCCTTAAGCAGTGGCAAGCAACAGGATTCAGCCTAGAATCTGAGATTTTTCAAGGCTCTTAACTTACTTCTTTTATAACATATCATGGTGTCTTCTTTACTTGACTTGAGATATTCATAATCTAAGTCCCCTTACTTTAATAAAGACTTGTTTCATGTTGGGACAATTTCCATTTCGTCTTTCATATACCTCCTAAGTTCTCCTTCCTATGTAAAATCCAAGCACTATGCTAGTGAAGTTTTAGGTTCTTCCTTTTATCTGTTAATCCAGTGCTTATCAGGTTCTGGCTATCCCTATCCGCTGATAAGTTTCTACTACTGTGTCTGTAAAACACAGCATTATTTGCTTGATTTTTTAATAGGAGACATTTGTATATGTCATCATTGCCTTGTAGAAATAAGAGCTTAAAAAATCCATAGAAAAATTGAATTAAAAGGTCATAGAATTTTTCCACAAACTTTTTGGAGCCCTCTTGTATAATCCTAGTCACATACAAAATTTTAATTTTTCTAGTAGCCACAATAACAAAAAAAGTGACAGGTGATATTAATTGTAATTTAATTTAACGCAACCCATTTCAGCATATAGTTAATATAAAAAAACATCATATTTTATACCGTCTAAAATTTACTGAATATTTTACATTTAGAGAACATTTCAATTTGTACTAGCCATATTTTAAATGTTCATAGTCATTTGTGGCTAGCAGCTATCATATTGGACATCATAGATACATATTTCTAAAATCACAGTTTCAAAAGCCGTTTTGACGGAATTGGTTTAATAAACGCATGTAAGAAAACATCATAATGAATACTTTGCTATAGAATCCTGAGAAGTGGCACTCTTCTCGTGTTCCGACTCATAGGTCAGTTGTTTTCAGTGAATTTTTATTGAAGACATTTTAAGACAGAATTATTTTTAGACCTATAAACAGTCAAATCTACTTAGTTTGGGTATAGTGTTTGTTTTTCTGTTATAACAATTTATATATCAAGGTCTTGGTGGGATATAAAATACTTTTCTTTAGCAAAGAAAATACTTGTTGAGCATCTATTATGTGCCAGGGGTGCTAGGGTTATATAGTTATGAAATTGAATCCTTGGCCTCCTTAAGCTTACTGCTTACCAAGAGAGAAAAATTCTCACTTCAAGGTAGAAAGAAGAGATTGCAGTGAAACTAAGAGATTGTGGGTAGATTTTAATGAGTTTGTGGCGGTAGTCCCCCAAAATTAATAACTATAATTTTGATTGATGGTGATTTTTTTAATTGTGTGAAATGATGGGGCTTCAAAAAGTCCTTAGGGAAAATGTAATGAAAAGATAATGGAATTTTTAAAAACTCTTTTTATTGTAAATTAGGTAGAGGTTTGCAGAGCAGATCATTCGTCTTGCATTCAACAATTCATACACATTTTGTTCAACTCATTCATTACAATCTCCTCAGTGGGCCATCAGTTATCCCACTTCCTCCCAGTGTTTCCTGTTTCCATTTCTCCTGTATAACACTCTGAACTTTATCCTTGGGTAAATCCTGCCCTTTTGATCATAAAAATCACAAAACCTCACTGCCATCAAGTGAATTCTGACTCATGGTAACCATGCAGGGCAGGATAGAACTGCCCTGGGGGTTACCAAGACTGTAGCTCTTTATGGGCATAGAAAGCCTGGTTTTCTCCCTAGGAACAGTTGGTAGTTTCAAAATGCTGGTCTTGCAGTTAGCAGCCCAACACATAACCATTACACCACCAGGGTTCCTCAAAAGTGGCTAATTATTCTAGCGTGGATGAGCCCAAATCCTGATTTAAAGAGTGACTAAGAGCCATAGTCTTGGGAGTCCCACCAGTCTCTCTTTTTTCTTTTTTTTTTTCTTTTTCATTTTTTAACCCACCAGTCTCTTATCTGACCAGTCAGCCTGGTCACAGAGTCATGGAAGCTGATGTTTACGTGGTCCATTAGTTCATTGGAGTAATTGTTTTCATATGTCTTTCAGAAAGAGATCAATAGTTGCACCTTCAATGGATGTTGTCAAGTGTTTAAGATCTCAATTGTTACTCATAATGTAGGATATCAATGGCTACCTGTTTTAAGACAAACCTTTAAAACCCCAGACCCTATTTCTGATCCTTGGGCACCATCTGTTTTCTTCACCACACTTTACTATAACATGTATATCTTCAGTGATCTCTTCATTAGGGTGAGTATCGAGTAGGGCCATGTCATAAGAACTAATTGTTCTTAAATTGGGGTTAGAAGAAAGTGTGAACCCATAACACATTCATATATCTATGGCTTATATTATGTCTCTGGTTCAATTTAGAGAAGTTATTATCTTTTATGATTGAGAACATCATAAATCATCTCTCTGGGGCATTCGGTAATTCTGTTAATAGTGTAATTAATTTAGCCAGTGATGTAGAATTTAAAACACTGTTGAGAAAAGAGTAGGCCAGCATCACACTGAAATACATGAATTGTTGACCTTTACAAATTAAACTTGAGTGGGCACTATTTACACAATCAGGGCAAAACTTTCGAAAACTCATTCACAAATGCAGAACCATGCCTACCATACTAATAAATGTCTTAAGAAAGCCATCTAAGTGAGATGTCAACTATGTCCACATGAAAAAAACATAATCAGTCTGTGTGATCCAGGGATTTTAAATAATAAAATCCAAATCTGAAGGAGGGAAAAGTATCAGAGCTTAAACTGCGAACACTCAGGTTGCAAAGGTTATGGATGACAGTGGAAACCGAAAATCCATTTGCAGGCTCCCCACATGGATTAAGCCTTTGGTGAATCGGCTGTGAACATAAGTGAAAAGCCTTGCTAGCAGATTTAGAACATTGTAGAGTCAACTGTGGTAGATTAAAATATAATAAAAAGAGCTTTTTTGTGTCTTTTTTGGTCATAGTTGTTGATTTTTTTATTTCCTTGCTTCTTGCTAGTGCTTTTTATGATTTTCTGTAATTGAAATCCAGGATAGGTAAATCTGGAGACAGTAACTGGATTAATAATTACCTACGAATAGGACACGGGGACATGGGGAACTAACAGTAATGAGTATTTGTAGAAAATGTTCTTAAATTGATAGTGGTGATTGCAATATTCTTAATATGATTGAATGATTAAATTTTATGATAAATGAAATATATTCCAGTAAACTTTTAAAAAAGAAGAAAAAACTCGGATATAGAACATTTGTCTTTGGGAACTATATTATGCCAGTTTGTTTTGGAGTCCACAGACTCTGGCCTTGATCTCTTCAGACCCCAGCAATTTGGTTCCCTCAAGGTGTTCAGTTATCTAATTGATTTTTGTAACTTTGTCCCCTGTATGATTTACCATATTCATAAATATATTTGCAACAAGGTAAATAATATCTATAGCTGTTCTCTGCCATATATATACATACATCTGTGGGTATATCCTCACTCTCATACTTTTCGGTCTGAATTTTGCTCCAAGCATCTGTAGCAAGATTGTGTCTATAATAATATTTGCTTTTGTTACCTTTAACTCTTACAAATTTCTCAATACCTTTCCCTACCTCCATCATTTTTTGCCAACCTCTTTCTTATTGTATACACAGTATTCTATTGTTTCTGTCTATGAACCAAAGTTTGTTTATTTGCTTTTTCACTGATGGACATTTAAGTTGTGTCTGTCTTCTTTCTATTGTGAGTAGTGCTACCACGAACATTGCTGAACATATATATATTTTACTCATGGCTCTTATTTCTCTAGGATATGTACCAAGTAAAATGATTGCTGGATCATGTGGTATTTTTATTCCTAACTTTTTGAGTAAGGTCCATATTGTTTTCCAAATGGTTATGCCATTTTATAGTTCCACCAGCAGTGTTTGAGAGTTCCAGTCTCCCTGTACCCATGGCAACATTTATTGTTTTCTGTTTTAACTTTGCTATTAATGTTATTTTTTAATTATTATTGCTGAGGTGAATTGATATC